AAAAATAACCAAATGTTAAAAAATCAGATTATAGTTGGCCACTAATTGCCAATTTAGAGATGATTTTAGAGAAGACCATAAGCTAAAGATCCTTTTGTAGCTACTGGTTGGAATCTTGAAATTACTCTTCCAGACAATTTCTGAAGTGCTTTTTTAATGGACCTTCCTCTGTCCTTGTGCTCAAGCATTTGACAGGAAACTGGAGTGGAGAGGGAAGAAGGATGGTTGCCTTCCTATTTCAGTGTGGTTACTATTTTGCTATATTTATTGTACTTTGAACCAGACTTATGGGCTTTCCCAGATGAAAACTCAACAGTAAAATGTGTTCCCTGAAGGGGAAGGTTGCATTTATGTCTTATGCTTACTGAACACCCATAAGACCAAATTTTTGTAAAATCGTCTTTATAATAGTAATGAGTTTATCAACTTCCTAGATTTAAGTAAGTTAAATAAATACATTGTACAGCCACAGTGCATTCTGGTGTACTTGGCACTGAGGAGAGAAAATGGAAAAAAGATTTAGTCCTTGCCCTCAATGAGCTCACTATCTATCTATGGGGATGGGTATATTAAATACATAACTCCTAAGAGATAAATGCAAGGATAGCATTGTGGATAAAGTAGAGTCAATAGTGACTGTTTTGCAGGATGAGGAATGGTGATGCTTGATCCTGATTTTGAAGACTCCACAGGAATGAAGATAGCATAGGAAGGGAAGTGCTTACCTTATTAATTAAATAATTTGTATGTCGACCCATTCCATACAGGCTAAAAAAAGTAGAGTAGGGATGGGGAGAGCACTCCCATAATAAGAAAAGGCATGTCCAAGGCACAGACAGAGGAAACAACATGAACTGTCTGCGGATAACCCATTGCTTTTGAACAAAAAGGAGATGAGACAAAAGCTAACAATTGAAATGTTAGATCAAGGCTTCTATGGTATTCCAGGAATTTAAATCTTCCATTATAAACATCAGAGAACTACTGACAGGTCATAAGCAGAGGAGTAACATGGACAAATTTGCTTTTTAGAACACCACTCCCCTGTGAAAGGTATTTGGGGTAGTGATTCTCATCTGGCTGAACAGAGCCCAGAAGTCTGGATCCTACTTTACACCAATTAAATCAGAGTCTAGGGGCGCCTGGGTGGCTCAGTTGGTTAAGCGACTGCCTTCGGCTCAGGTCATGATCCCGGAGTCTCTGGATCGAGTCCCGCATCGGGCTCCCTGCTCTGCGGGGAGTCCGCTTCTCCCTCTGACCCTCCCCCCTCTCATGCTCTCTCTCTCAATCTCATTCTCTCTCTCAAGCAAATAAATAAAATCTTTAAAAAAAAAAAATCAGAGTCTAGTGGTAGTGATCCTGGGCACCAATACTTTTTAAAGGCTCCTCAGATGTTTCTATTGAGCCCACAATCAAAAATCATGGGATTAGAGTGAGAAGTGACTGGAGTCAGGGAGACCAGATAGGAGGCACAAGTGTGAGGAGCTGAGCTAAGACAGAGTTCAGAGAAATCTGAATTTTATTTTTTATGATTACATGTGTGATGAGCCATCAGGTTATCTATCAATTTACTTTCTATCTGTATCTCCTGGACATCCAAACTAGATTGTAGATGTGATGAGAGAAGTGTAAGACTGAATATTTTAATTATCACTTTAGCAAAAACCGAGGAGTTGAGAATAATGCAAACATACCACTTTAGTATTGTTCCAAGATAGGATATACCACCAACATTGTCCCTGCAATGAGAGTTCAAGGAGGTGAATGATTACTATGAATTGGCATAATATTGGGAGATGCTTAATTGAGGAGGTAGGGCTTAAACTTTGTCTTAAATATCCATGTTCTTTAAGTCAAGAAACAAATATTCGAGTTCTTATGTTATCTGCAGCTTTATTTTGAAAAGACCATAAATTGGGGTGCCTGGGTGACTCAGTTGGTTAAGCTTCCGATTCTTGATTTTGGCTCAGGTTATGATCTCAGGGTTGTGAGACTGAGCCGGGCTCTGGGCTCCATGCCCCTTCCTCTTCTCCTTCCCTGCTCTCCTCTCTCTCTCTCTCTCTCTCTCTCAATAAGTAAATAAATAAATAACATAAATTAGTTGGGTATGGTTTTAAACAGGTGGTAAATAAGTGTCAGAGAGGCTAAATAATGTGACCAAAGACATACAGTCATGGGTAAAATGCCTTGTACGTAGTAGGCACTCGATTAAATGGAAGAGCATGGTTTCAAACGGGTCACTTGATTCCCACATCCAATGCTACTTTTAGTGGGAAGAGTTAGAGGAAGAAGACTAGGGAGCTGAGAAAGTTTTCTAGGTAGGAGCACCTTATGGTCAAATGTGTTGGGAACAACATGGGCGTGAGGAGGAACAGTGAAGATGTAACTGAGGTCAGATTATAGTTGACTTGTGACCTAGGTGATTTAAGTTGGGTTCATTTCCACAGTTTTCAAAGGAGGAATCATTTTTCATTAATTTAATCTTTTTTAATTTTATTATGTTATGTGAGTCACCATACAATATACATCATTAGTTTTTGATGTGGGGATCCACGATCCATTGTTTGCATATAACACCCAGTGCTCCATGCAGTATGTGCCTTCCTTAATACCCATCACGGGGCTAACCCATCCCCCCTCCCCCCTCCCCTCTAGAACCCTCAGTTTGTTTCCCAGAGTCCATAGTCTCTCATGGTTCGTCTCCTCCTCCGATTCCCCCCCTTCATTTTTCCCTTCCTTCTCCTAATGTCCTCCATGCTGTTCCTTATGTTCCACAAATAAGTGAAACCATATGATAATATCTTTACTGAGGCTACATTAGATGGGACAAAGACAAAAAACAAATCTCGGAATAAATTAGCTTCTAAAAATATTGTATGAACTCCGTAACACTTTCTACTTTGTACCTCTGCTGTGAAGCCAAGATTTTACCAGTAACAGTGAATGCAGTGAGCAAGGAAAGATAGGTCATTTCTTTCTCATTATTTTTAAGTCACAGTAGTTTCAAAATTCTAGCAAATTTTGAGTCATTATATTCTCAGAATTTCAACTAAAGAGGATCCATGTAAGATCTTATCTTTGAAAATGAGTTGCAATATCTAGATGGTAAATAGTTGAAAGTAGATAAAACCACACAACATCCTAGTATTCTGAAAGATGACTTTTGACCTTGAGTCGGCACAAAAAAGAACTCTCCTGCATATGTTGGAAGGCCCAGGATACATCCCTTGCTCCAACATGGTACTAGATGTCTGACCACTTATTCATCTCTGTGCCTTAGTTTCCTCTTTCGTAAATTGGAATAACTATTTCCATCTTGCAATCATATGGCATAACTCACGGAAAAGCTTTGAAAAACTTTGAAACAATATATAAGCACAGTGTACTACCAGTAAAATTGATATTATGCCTTTTTAAGCACTTTATTGCTTTGAGTACTTTAAGAAAAAAGGCCACTTACAGTTATTTTTTTCTTTAATTTAGCCATAACCCTTAACCAAATGCCTATAACCTTGTACATATTTAACTCAAAATTTACGATGTAGAGTAAGTTAATTTATACTGTTCTTAATCTAACTTACTAGAGGGGTTAAACCTGAGTGGTGCAGTTGGTTGAGCCACTGACTCTTGGTTTCAGCTGGGGTCACGATCTTGAAGTTGTGGAATCGGGCCCTAGGTCAGGCTCCATGCTCTGTGTGGAGTCTGCTTAGGACTCTTTCCTCCTCTGCCCCTGCCCCTGCCCCCCCCTTCAAGTAAATAAATCTTTAAACCGCCCCCCCCATCAGAAGCCTACCAATAGTTATCTCTGTGTACTCCTGTGTTCATCCTTATCACTGTTGTAAGGACAGTGTCTTATATGTCATCATCAACGTTTATAATACTCAGTGTGCAAAAAAACCTTGTGCCTAGAAGACTTGGTAAAAATGTATTGGAATCAGTGTTATCATCATCTGAAGGATATTTGAAGGACATGGCAGTAGATTAATCAGTGGAGCAGAAGACTCTGACATATGACCAGTATCTTTACATAGTGTAAAGTCTGTCATAAATAAGAAAAATCAAGTAAACTTTTCTTAAGTGGTCTCAGAGCTAGGACCAATAAGTAGAAGTAACTGGAAAATAGATTTCATTTCCATTTAAGGAAGACATTTCTAAAAGAGTTATTCAGTGATGGAATTGGCTGCCTTTTGAGGTAATAGATAGCCCACCGGGAAAAGGCTCAAACCAGAACTGGACAGCTCTGTGTTTGGGATGTTGTTAAGGTCACTCAAGCTTTGAATGTCAGGGAAGGCTGACTGGATTTATGCTTTCCTTCCATATTTAGCTGTCATTCGAAAACAGCAAAGTATATGTGTGTCTTCCATCAGCATCCATGCCATACATAGGATAACTCTCAGATGGTCTTGTTGGGGGGGTGCGGGAGGGGGGAACAAAAATGCTTTTGGCCCTTAGGATGGAGGGGATTCGATTAGGCAAGGCACCTACCAAGATGGGCAGTCTAATTGGTTCAGGGTTGTCCTAATTGCCCACTTGTTCCTACTCAGTGGCTAATCTATTCACACCTTTACTAAAAGACCCAGATCTCCATAGGGTGTATCTACACTGTTAATGAATTAGCACTATTTATGGCCTCTGGATGGTATAGTTCTTGAGAATATCCTAAAACTAGTTTAGAGCTGCTATGGGATAATTTAGTAATTGGAGTCCAACAGCTGCAGGTTCGAGTGTCAGACCTGCCACCAATTAGCTATATGACAGTAGGCGTGTTATTTCACTTCTGTGAGCCTCAGCCTCATTATTTGCAAAATAGAGATAAGAAAAGATGCTCCTACACAGAGCTGCTTTGCAGAGTAAATGAGATAATGCATGTGAACAGCTTGGCACAGTACCTGGCACAAGGTAAATGCTCAGAAATGTTAATCAATGCTATTGTAAAGGATCACTATTTTCTAATAACAATCTTGGCTAGATTCTAAAGCTCTGTGCCTTCTTTATTGCAGACATTGATGAATGTGCCTTAAGAACTCATACCTGTTGGAATGATTCTGCCTGCATCAACCTGGCAGGGGGCTTTGACTGCCTCTGTCCCTCTGGGCCCTCCTGCTCTGGTGACTGCCCCCATGAAGGAGGACTGAAGCGCAATGGACAGGTGTGGACCTTGAAAGAAGACAGGTGTTCTGTCTGTTCCTGCAAGGTGAGACTAACAGAGTGCAGCAGGAATTGTAGCTGTTCTTTTCCTTCCTTCACTCTCTTCTCTTCCACCCTACCTCTTTCCCCCAGGTGTTGACTTGTGGGTCTTCTGTAGTTTCTGAAAAGACTTCTCCTGTTCTGATCCATGCTACAGCTAATGATGATGCTGAGTGGCAGGCAAACCTGTTTTGAATTGGTCATGCTGTTAGTGACAAGTGAGGTGTGTGTTTGAGAAGAGACAGCAAAGCACAGAGGGAGTGGGGCAGAGAAGCCAATGTTAGTCCTCCCTCCGAGACCCTGCATTGCCTTTCAGGCTGGTTGGGTGAGAGCTTTAATGAGCCCTTATCCCACACACAGACTTGCTGATTAAAACTACTCTTTGCCTGAAATGATCACCTGCAGGAACTTGCTCATTTTTGTGGTGACATCATCCAGAAAAGCAAGGCTCACAGGCTTGCTTCCAGTGGTCAGAGACAGGTGGACCTCTGTTCTGAACAAACGGTAATGATAGGATGAGGCTTTCTGGTAAATGATGTCTTCTTTCTATTCGCATTGCCGGGCTGGCTATTCCTTACATTAAGTTGTTTGGAAAAGTGAGTTTAATGCTTATGAAAATAAAATTCTGTCATCACCCGGTTTTGCTTTATGCTTTGCAAAATGGGCCTATTAAAATGTTTGATTTCCTTGGGCTTTATTTCTTCTTTTGTTGATCTTGCCTATTCATTTTCCTTTGATATTACTTTACTGTAGCTCTTGCATTGTATTTTTTATGTCTTTTGGGATGGAACTTTTTAATCTTGCACTTTATGGGCGTGGGAACCATGAGAAATGACTTGTTTAGTAGCCTCTTAGGGAGCTGGTGTCCTGATAAATTCGGAGTTCTCTCTGGAAACAGAGTTGAAAAGTCATTCAGTTCATTCACCTGCCTTCAAGTCTGCCACACCTCCAAAAGACCTGGGGGCCCCTATTTAGGAAAGCTAAACCAAGTGTTTAGATCATCACCCCATAAAGCTCATTTTTTATCTTATACATTCATCCAGTTCCACACATCCAGACATAGGTCCAGTGACCCCATTTTCTGAGTACCTCCTATGTTCCAAGCACTCTGTAATTTAAAAACAGCATCACACTTAATTCTTGTAACACAGCTTCGAAAGATAAAGTTTTAAGTTTTAGGGCAAATAATGTGCCCTAAATATCACAGGATATAAATATCTAAGCAGGGAGTTGAATTCTACTGGCTTGCCCCAAATTTCATAGTTTTCTTATCTGGCCACATGTCCTATAACACTCTACAGGTGGATACTTGTTGATATATTTAAAACCAATTAAGCAGTCTTTCCAACTTGACTGATCTCAAACTCTAAACTTTGTACTATATTAACGATCGTGTGGGGCACTGACTCAAAGGGCAAAAGTTTTAGCGAAGGAAAAGCTTGTTGTAGTTTAGAATAGTTGAGGAAGTTTTGTGGAAGGGGTTGGCAATTAGGTCTCCATTCAGCCAGCAAAACAAGAATGAATTCCTTTATTCTCTAGAAAATACTGCTTTCCCCAAGCTTATGAGGAACAACAACCTGACCCTGAATCCTTTTTAGGTTTTATAGTTCCCCAGCCCCTGAAATAAGCAAGATATTTTAGTTGAGTCTTGACTAGAGTATGAAACCAAAATTTCGTTTTTAGTTTTTGTTTTATTTAAGCCCATGGGAGGGAACTTACCAATCACTAAACTTACCAAAGTTTCATTAATTAATCATGCTAATAATCCAAGCAGTGTACATTGATATATTCTGCTTTGACTCCTAAAATCTCTCCAAAGTCATGAGAATTTGAAATTGCCACAAGAGATGAACAATCCTTGTAATCCTATACTGTTAATATAACTCCCCTCTACCACCCCCCACCCCCCACCCTTAATGAATAAAGTACAGGAAGATTTCTTTACATAAATCTTTTGCTGGTTTATTTTCCAGTTGCATTTGTTACTCATTAATAGCATAGCTTCAAGAGCTTGTGGAGGGAAAGGAGGGCCTGGATTTAGGAGCTAAATTAAAAATCCTAAATAAAATTCTGTAGGACATTCCCAAAAGATGAACTTATATGTGACCCCACATTTTTCTTTCCATTATTTGCATCTGAAAGTGTCTTATTCTAATTTCATAAGAAATAGCTTCAACACTTGAGCATCCAAATGGACTACAATAGCATCAACTTTGAAGACTAAGAAGTAAAATCGAGGCTGGGACATAAATTCTGGCTCTTTAACCATACTCTTGTTTCAAATTCAAATAAACCAAATCACATAATAGCAGAATTACGTAAGCCAACAAAGGGTGAAGGCTTACTGTTAAAAGAAGCAGAGTTGAGCAGTCTACAGATTCAATGGAATCCCTATCAAAATATCAATAGTATTTTTCATAAAGCTAGAATAAATAATCCTAAAATTTGTATGGAACCACAAAGCAATCTTGGGAAGGAACAAGTCTGGAGGTATCACAGTCCCAGATTTCAGATATACCATAAAGCTATATTGACCAAAACAGTATGGTACTGGCACACAAATAGACATAGGTCAGTGGAAAAGAATAGAGAGCCCAGAATTGAATCCACACTTAAGTGGTCAATCTACAACAAAAGCAAGAATATATAATGGTGAAAAGTCAGTCTCTTTGATAAATGGTGTTGAGAAAATTGGACAGCTACATGCAAAAGAATAAAACTGGATCACTTTCTTATACACAAAAATAAACTCAAAATGGATTAAAGAACTAAATATGAGGCCTGAAGCCATAAAACTCCTAAAAGAAAACATTGGCAGTAATTTCTTTGCCATCCCACTTAATAACATCTTTCTAGATATGTCTCCTAAGGCTAAGGGAAACAAAAGTAAAAATAAACCATTGGGACTGTAACAAAATAAAATTCTTTGGCATAGCAAAGGAAACCAATAATAAAATGAAAAGGCATCCTACATAATGGAAGAAGATATTTGCAAATAATATATCTGATAAAGGGCTAATATCCAAAATAAATAAAGAACTGAGACTAAACACCAAAAATAATCTGATTAAAAATGGCCAGAGACCTGAATAGACATTTTTCCAAATAAAACATACAGTTAGCCAAGAGACACATAAAAAGATGCTCAGCATCATTAGTCATTAGGGAAATGCAAATCAAAACCACAATGAGATATCACCTCATACTAGTCAGAATGGCCAGTATCAAAAAGGTAAGAAACAAATGCTGGCAAGGATGTGAAGGAAAGGGAACCCATATGTACTGTTGGTGGGTATGTAAATTGGTGCAACCACCGTGGAAAAGATTAGGGAGGTTCCTCAAAAGTTAAAAATAGAAATGCCATATAATCCAGTAATTCTACTACTGGGTATTTACCCAAAGAAAATGAAAACAGTAATTTGGAAAGATATACACATTCCTGTATTTATTGCTACATTATTTACAATAACCAAGATATAGAAGCAACCCAAGTGTCCATCAGTAGATTAATGGGCAAAGAAGATGTGGTATACATATGCACATATGGAATGATGGAATATTACTCAGCCATAAAAAGAATGAAATCTTGCCATTTACAACATGGATGGGCCTAGAGAGTGTTATGGTAAGTCAGAGTAAGATAAATACCCTATGATTTAACTCATGTGGAATCTAAACAAATGAACAAACCAAAAAAAGAAACATACTCATAAATACAGAGAACAAACTAATGGTTGCTGAAGGAGTGGGAGTTGGGTAGATGGGTGAAATAGATGTAGGAGTTTCAAAGGTGTAAACTTCCAGTTATAAAATAAATAAGATGGAGATGAAAAGTACAGCACAGGGAATATAGTCAATAATATTGTACGGTGACAAATGGTGACTATGCTTATCGTGGTATTGTGTTTTATATATTGAGTAATGTATAGAGTTGTCAAATCAATATGTTGGACATGTGAAACTAATATAATACTGTATGTCAACTCTACTTCAATTAGAAATTTAAAAAAGAACAATGCTTAGGTTATCAGGAGAAAAGGGTGATGGCAGGGTGATGGCATCATGAAATTCTTAGGCAAGTTCAGATAGAACCACCTTCACTTCATGAAAAAAAACTAATGTGGGATTGAGGTATCAATATTACAGAAATTGGGGTGGGGAGTGCAGATTAATACCCACTTGAACAAAATTAGATCACACAATTGAAGAAACATTTAGATAAACTTCTCTAGACCCTCAAATTAAAGCAAGGGCTCAAACAAGATAGGCAAAAAGGCAAGGTCGTTAAACAAGAGAAAGGGGAGAGTGGCTCTTGGAGAATGAGTTGAAGGGAAAAGCTATGCAATATGAAGACTACCTCAGAAGCTTCCTGGGACCAAACCTGTACTGATGCCATGGAGATGGGGGAAAACCCATCGATTTTGAGGGGGAAAGGTGGAGAAGAAACATGCTTACATGATGGATATGGAATCTGACAGTAATAATGTAGCACACAGTGGGCTTTCCTGAAGAGAATACAACAAATGTAACAAAACCAATTTTACAGACAAAAGAGAAGGATGACTGTGATCTGTACACCTGAAGGATTCTCTTACTAGGACAAGACCAGTCAGTATGAAGTCATCAGGACCAGTACTAGTTCCATAAGCATGAGGACAAGGTAAGGTCAGAGTTATCCTGGGAAATTTCAGATTGGCTTCAGACTTTCCTCAAATATGTAAAAAGCTCAATATGTAAAAAGACAGTGGAACAATTATTTGCAGACTATGGTGGGGGACACACCTTTGAGCTAGGAACTCACAAATACTTCTTACATTGTATGCCTTAGTTGGTAAAATACGTATTAAAGGAAGAATCAAAGAATTTATGACTATGAAGAAAAAAGAAAAACTATACAAGCAAGAAGTCAGAAGGCACTCAGTCTCATACACATATGACAACACTGCGGGTTGTCATATCATAAGGAGATTAATAACTGATGTTTCAAGATTATCCTTCAGATGGAGG